TCCCTCCCTGGACCTCATGTAGCTTAAAGCTCCAACTCCCTAATCACGTGGTTGGTCTTTCTGGTATGGCCAACTTCCATCCTGAAACTATTTAGGGGCTGCCATGAGTCACCTCATCAGCACAGACTATTGGGGCCCCTATGAACATCACTCCTAATACTTGAGAAATTCCAAAGATTTAATCTCCCTCCAAAGCACCAGGGACAAAGGTCAGTTAAACTCTTTATTATATTATACAACACTCAGTGTGGTTAGTTTCCTCCAGACTGACTTCTCAAGCTCTCGCCGACCCCTCAACTCCAACTTTTGATTTTGACAAGTTTCAAATTTTCATCTGGATTCACTGATTCTTAGCAATTTTGCCACAGTTGCTTTCTCTCTCATCATGACACTTCACCCCTAAATACTTCAGAATGTATCTTCTATGAACAAGTTCATTTTCACATATAACCACAATAGTTATCACACTTGAGAAATTTAACATTGATATAATACCATCATCTAATATACAGATCATATGTAAATTTCCCCAAGAGTAAAATGTCCTTTATAGCTGATTTTCTCCCCATCTTGGATCCAATCCAGGATCACACATTGCATTTATTTATTTATTTACAGACAGGGTCTCGCTCTGTGGCCCGGACTAGAGTGCAGTGGCATTATAACTCACTGCAGCCTTGAACTCCTGGGCTCAAGCAATCCTTCTATCTCAAGTAGCTAGTACTAAAACTGAGCGCCAACATGCCCAGTTGTTTTTTCGTTTTTTTTTTTGTAGTGACTGTGTCATGTTTCCTAGGTTGGTCTCAAACTTCTGGCCTAGAAGTGATCCTCCTGCCTCTGCCTCCCAAAGTGCTGGGATTACAAGCGTGAGCCACTGCACCCAGACCCAGATCTGCATTTATTTTTTATAGTATATGTGCTGCCAAAGTGAGTATTGCATTAATTTTTTATATCTCCTTTAACCTGGGATAGTTCTCAGCCTTTTCTTTTTCTTTTATGACAATGACATCTGTAAAGCGTCTATGTCAATCATTTTGCAGACTGTTTCTCACTTTGGTCTTTTATTTCCTCAAGATTAGATTCAGAATAAACATTTTTTTTTGTCAGGAATACTACATAAGAGATGCCGTGTCCTTCTCAGTGCATCACATTAAGAGGCACATGATGCCAGTTTGTCCTATTAATACGAATTAAGCTTTGGTTCCTTGAGTAAGGTGGCGTTTGCTGGATCAGGCTAGCTTTTGATAACTTAGAAACCTGAAAATTATTGGCATTGACTTTCCAAGTAACCGGAGTAGCTGTAGCACACCTGCCCTGCCTTCACCTTCTCCCATCCTCTCTCCAAGTACTGGGGAACGCGGGAAGGCAGGAAATGGAAAGCGAGTGGCTAAGCTCTGCGGTGTCTCTCTCTCGAGGCCCCTGGCGACAGCTCTACAGCTATTTTCCGTCGGGTGCTGAGCAGCCCGGGATCGGGATTCTCCCCTGCCGTGTGTTATACACGACTCACTGTCCGCGTGCGCGTCTGCGCGCGCACGCAAGTAGGTATGTGCGCGGTGCCCATGCCTGTATGCAAACGTGGGTTTTTTTGCCCTCAGCAGCGTTCGCAGGCACGTTCCATTCTGCGCAAGCCTTCAAGTTTTACCGTGTCTGTCCCTTTTCCCTAAAGCAAACATTCCACGTTGGGAACTCTGGCGTGGGCTAAATTTTGTATGCGTCTGAAGCGTTTCTGTGCGGAGCTGCCCAGGCTTCTCAAGCGCTCCCTGGTCTCGACTTGGCGGCCTTCGACCTTCCCTTCCTTTCCGCCGGTGGTGGTTGCACCCACCTCACCCGGAAGTGCTCGTTTCCCGCACGCTGGTCAGGTTCGCAGCCCGACATGGAGCGGCCCCACAGTGCCGGCCGGGCTACTGCACTCGGTGACGCAGCCCCGGCCTCGGTGACTCTGGCGCAGCTCCTGCAGCTAGTCCAGCAGGGCCGGGAGCTCCCAGGTCTGGAGAGACGCCACATCGCGGCGACCCATGGCGAACCCACGACGTCCCTGCTCCCGCGGAGGCCCAAGCCTTGGGAGGCCGCAGCTTTGGCCAAGTCCCCCAGCGCTGCAGCCCTAGACCCGGGGCCACAGGCCTCGCCGACCCTCAAGAAAAGAATGGCTCCGGCGGAGGCAGCGACTACGCCTTCTTAAATGGCACACAGTGGGTTTCTGGGGTTCCTTGCAGGGGAGATTTGGAGGGCGTGACTGCAGGACCCTGGATACCGACCGCTCTTATTCATCTTTGGGCATTCGCCCTGACCTGTCTCATCTGAACTTAACCCTCCTGCAACAATCCAGATTGTTCTGTATTCGTATTTCAGGACCATGATCCTCAGTAAAAAGAAAAATCCTGTTTCAGTCCTTATGTGTAATTGAAACAAATCTCATAGTTTACTACCTGCTATGCATCGGTATATTTTCATTTAAATAATGCTAAGTTGGCCGGGC